TTCTATAGAAGCACCTTCCTCACTCGTTCAGATAGACAAGACATGTTGGTCTACCACGTGATTGCTGTGAAGCCGATCATCCAGAAAGTACTAGGTAAAGTCAAAAACCTTTTCTTTTCCTTGTCTTGCCCTTTATCAGTCTTATTCTTCTTCTTGTTGGTAGATACTGTTGCTCTCTTGTTAATACATTGCATAAGTTATAGGGATTGTTAATATGGCTGTTGAAAGTAGAGTTAGAAAAAGCACTAAAACATCATATTCTGTGGTTACGAGGGCTTCAGTTAGAGTTGGCAATAACCCAGGGACATCAACCTCTTCCCGCATACCGATCCTAAAGACTCGTGTATGTCTCTTCTCTTCTGATACTACGCCTGCGTTGCCACAGCCTAGCACTGAAACGGCACATGCAAAACTAGGCGGACATGATACTACACCTGAATCCAATTAAAAGCCAGTGCGTGAAACTTAACAAAACAAAGAGGAAACGCTCCAGACGTCATAAGACCTCGAAAGCGCCATCAAGGAAGGGAGACGAATGTCAGGTGTGTAGTGTCATCGTTTCTAAAACTGATTCAGAATTTGAATGCAATTTTCGAAACAATGAGTACACTGCAGTTGTGACAAAGGATTGCCAAAACCATATTATGCGTTTATGCGAAATAACCTGTGCTTATGGTTCTGGTATATCTGCCCAATTTTTCAATCTACCACAGTCTCACACAGCGCGGCTCCGGATATCAGGAACAGAACGCTACTTTTGTGTCTCGATACAGTCTCATGCAGCTTCCCACCCGCTAACACCACACTATCAGAACTTGGTATAGACAGTAAGAAGGACACTCCAGTCTAACTGACTGGAAAAACCAATCTTCATGTAGTGGAGTTTCCCAGAATTCAACCTAGCAAGGATGGTAACACAGCGAAGAACTGTCAGAACCTAATGAAATGTAAAGTGACGGACCCTACAAAGGAGGACAAGCAGCCAAAGACCAAACCTAAGTCTGAGGTCAGTCGATCGAACTCCCTCATCCTGTTTAAAATACCCGTTTGCAGTGATAACTGGCTTGAACAAAAGACCCTGTTTGATCGGGAACAGCGGTCCAGTTTGTGTAATAAATTAGGTCTGAACAGCAATTCAGCAAAATTTTACAGACTGTACAGGGGGTCCAGGCACCTCAGGTTAAGCCACTTCCATTAAGCGTTACATTGGGGTCTGCCGAAGAGGCTGTGAGAATACTGTTACTGGCTTAAGTACTAGCTATCGGCAGGAGTTCCAGCATAAGAGTGAGACATGATGGGTCATGGGCTAACAGACAAATGGCAAGGGAGTAACTGGAACTGATTCCTTCTACCTCTATGTTCATACACAGTATTCCGGAGCTGGAGAATGGCACTGTTCGTGAAAAACACATGCATGACGTACAGCAATGGAGATGGTTCTCATCTCAGATGACCCTTGATGCTTCCAGAGCAGTCTCGATTTTACGGCTACCTCGTCCCGCTCATCTCACACTGATCAGCTCCTCAAGATTGCTAAGTGCAAACTTCAAATCCCAGGAACAGTTGGCTCTATTAATTCAACGGTGGTACGAGGCCAAGGGTGAATTGGGAAGACATATCCAATGCTGTGAAAGCAGACCTCCGACTATAAGGAGGCAGTAAACTGAGGTTACTATACGTCCCCAAGCCTCAGTGACACTACAACGATGCGGCACTGAGAATGATAGCCAGCAATGTGAGAGGGTCGAGAGGGAAAGTGGGTGAACTCAGAAACCTCCAAGCTCACCTACACCTTAAAATAATAATCCTTACTTAAACCCGGCTAGCCTCACCATCGCTGACGACGAAATCAGTATGAGTGATATGGTTCTGGTCAGGAGAGACAGGAATAACAAGGAAGAGGGGAGTCACAATATACTTTGACAAGCAAATTAAATGTGTATGTGCAATGGACCCACCACTTATTGAACTCTCAGAATCTATATGGTGTCACTTCACCGTGGTCCACACCAAGCATTTACTGGGTGGCATCTACCAATCTCCCACCTGTGGGGCAGAGCGCAATCAGCTACTGCTCAGAACCATCACAGGGATACGGGACTCAGGCTATGATCAAATCACCATAACTGAAGATTTCAATGACCCATCACTGAACCTTGGCTCGGGGTATGCTAAGGGAAAATTCGGCCGAAATCTACTGCAAATTATTCGAAATACGGGACTGACTGAGAATGTTGCAGATGATACTAGGTGGGGCCCTAGTGGAAAGTCATCAAAACTAGACTAAATTCTAACTAGTGACCAACTACTCATCAAAAAGGTCCAGATCATGACTCCTCTAGTATGTAGTGACCATGCAGTCATAGGTTTCGATCTCGTTCTCCATGAGCATTTTCAGTGGGATGCTACGTGACTATGTCTGTGTTATAGCAAGGCTGACTGCACTGATATGCGGAGGCTCTTGTCCGACGCAGAGTGGCCCCTAGCATGGGGCTATCTGTGGATGAACACTTGAGAGTAGTAAAAGAGATTATTCACACAGCAATCTCAAGTACCGTCACTCTAGTCACAACACAGATGAACAAAATGTCATCATGGCTGAAGAGAGGCACGCAACGTATTCTGCAAGAAAAGCGGAAGGCTTCGTTTACGTATCTAAGAGTCAGACCGACCACGACGCATGCCTGGAACTCAGGAACCGGTCCGACGCGAGAGTCAGGAGGGACAGGATGTCATTCCAGGCTAACCTTGCTTAAAAGCTCCTAGCAAACCCCAAAATCTTGTACCGATTCATGTCGGAAAGAAAACAAACCAACCAAGCCTTCACCGATCAGCTAAACAGAAATGTGGGTATTACCGTTACGGGCACAAATGATGGCACTGCTGAATCACTAGGGGAAAACCTGGTGGCTACTCCCCAAATAAACCCGGCAATAGTACTAGGGAAGCTACAGAGACTCGCATCTGGAAAGTCCACAGGTTGTGACGACATCGGACCATCTGTTCCGAAACAGTCCGCTGAAGCCCTCCATAGGCGCTTATTCCAACACTCGACGGATTCGAGGAAACTGCCAAGGGAGTGTAAAGAAACCATCCTTTCTCTGATCTTCGAGGGTGGGGATAGACAAAATGCCACTAGTTATAGACCATTAACCGTACTCCCAGTGGTGCCGAAAGTACTGTGAAGTACAATTGATTATCACATCAGGGAGAACCTCGATAAGACTAACAGGCTCCGTAAGGTCTAAATGGTTTCAGGAATGGCAGATCTTGTGTAACAAACTTACTATCAGCTTGAAACGATTGGACATCGTGCCGGGATATGAATGTTCCAGTCCATGTCGTCTTCCTAGACTTTGAGAAGGTATTTGACACAGTTTATCATGACCTTCTTCTATACAAACTAAGTCAGGTAGTTGTAGGTGAGCCATTTCTGTCATGGTTAAAGGACTACCTAGCTGAAAGCCAATTTTGCACTAAGGTCAATCGAGTCTGGTTATCTTGGCACAGCTCGTCATCAGGAGTGTCACAGGGCTTTATCCTAGGACCACTGATGTTTTTGGTTTTTATCAGTGACCTACCATGCCGTCTAAGCTGCCTGACTCTTCTATACGCTGACAACGTGAAGTGTCCGGAGGACCCAGATGGGCTGCAGCAAAATCTAAAGCTTCTGGAAGACTGGTCGGCGACCAGTGGCATGACTTTCAACCTGAAAAAGTGCAAAGTAGTGAAGTTACGCACCTGTAGACTGCATAATGTAAGTTACACCCTGCGCAATGAAAGCTTTCCCTGTAGAACGTTGGAGTGTGACTTAGGTCCAGTTCTAACGGAAAAATGGACACAAGCGTAAATTACACGGGGGACGTAGCGAGGGCATACGCGATCATACACTTCACAAATAAACAATTAGGCGCACTCACTATCGAACTCTTTCTAAAGTTGAACAAAACGAAAGTCAGACCACACCTTCAAGTGTACAATATCATTGTATCTCCACTGCTACGAAGCGACGCATACCTCTTGGAAAGAGCCCAAAGATGGGCGACAAAAGGAATGGTGGGTCTCCGGAATGAACGGTATAATGGAAGGCTAAAGAAATTAGGCCTATTCACAGTTAGCTACCGTCGGCTTAGAGGGGATTTGATTACTGTCTAAAAGATAACAAATGACCAGAATCACCTAAACAAAGGTGTTCTGCCATTGAGTAGATGTGAACTTCCTCGTGAAAATCCCCGAAGGATAGCTCACCGGAGGGCAAGAACTCGAGTGCGTCCCCACTTCTTTTCACTCCTGGTCTGCCGTCCCTGGAACTCTACTGGCGGATGTAGCTGTGGCACCGTAAATGGACAGGTTTAAATGAAGGCTGGACAATCATACAGCGACACAAGGACTGCGCCCAAATTGCCTATCCCCTTAAAATCCCATACACCGTTCATGGGTAGACATCTAAACTTCTCGTTTACTTCTTTACATTCTCTCCTGACTGCCTCAACTTCTACACTTACGCTTATTATTTTCGTTGATATTATGTACATATTTATTTATATATGTCAACCTCAAATTTAACTAGGATTCTGTTTTTACGTTTTCTATATTTCTTTTTCTGTCTTTTACTTTGAATAACCTACACTAATTACATCTGTTATTTTGGATACAACCAAAGCTACGACAGTCAAGTGGCGGGACGAACTATGTAGAAGATTATCGAGGACCGCGAGCCTTTACCTCACAATCAGGAAGCGAGCATAAAGAAATCAAAATGGTTTATACTAGTTACTTAAAACGATATTGGATATTGGATAGCCACAAAATTTGTTGGTTTATACGAACTAGTCACAAATATATTGAGTAAGCTGCTACATATTCAGAAATCAATGATAAAATAATAATATTAGTCAAGAGTATTTCTGGTATCTCCACGCAGGTGTGTACGTTGTACCATTTGTTTCTTCGAATCAATTAGTAAATAGTCACACAAAGCGATTTTTCAAATATTGTAGCTATTTGTACGCTTTGGATCAACGCTTATTATGTTTTATAGTGTCGATCTATTGTCTGCTCATCGTGGAAGATTTGGCATTATATGGTTGAGTTCATTCGAATTCGTAACACTAACTTTCAGGTTGGCAGCGACCAGAGTAAGAAAACAGCTTACGAGAAGAGAGCTGAATTCAGTTAATATTGTTAATGCATGGTATTGCGAACATATTTCTTACTGCTCTTAGCAACGAGATAACAGGCCATATTTTGGGAAAGACGAGAATAAGGCTGTCGTTGTACTTAGCGTCGCAGTTGACGTTCGAAATATGTGTCATCTATAGAGAAAAAGTTGTCTTTATGCTGCGTAAGTTGGCTGTGTAATTCACAATTATTTAGTAACTTTGTTATTTCCACGATATTAAGTTATCTCTTAAATTTCTCTCACATATTAGGCGATCTTCAGGAACTGAATCAACGGGCTTGCGTATTAACAGTCCGGTCCATTGATCTACCGACGTGGTAAAACTTACATGTCGATGTTCCTTTCTGTTCGTTTTATTTGTGTTTCTTTGTTTGTATCATTTTTCCTCTTAGCCTTTATTCACATTAAAGTTGTTTTCTTAAAGTAACAGACGCCAGTCGCATGCTAAGCGAAGACGTACCTCGGCGACGGAGGCTACTGAATTACCTGTGTGGAATAATAACGAAGACATCAATGAATTCGGAAACTTGCAGCTTCCTGAATTAATCTGGCCTGATATCGAGCCTAATTTGGAGTTTATGGATACGCAAACACTTTATCAGGCACGAAAGGAAGATATCACGATGTTTGAGGATCCTCAAAATACTGTAAGTTGCCTGTTTTACAAGTATAGAAACGTTACTTATCATGTTTACTTTTGATTTTCGGAGAGTGGATCTAGGCATTCCGGACACTGTAGCCTCTGCTTACGTTTCTAGAGCCAGTTCAATTGTATGAATAATTGTTAACTAAGCAACTATCCCAAGTACGTCTTACCGTTAGTGTTAACTCATACATATATATATATACGAAAGCCTGAACTGTGAGACGCCTCCAATAAGGATGCACAATTTGACCTAATACGTAAATAATTTAAATATTCCCGTAACGGTAATTACAGAACACGATTTAAGCAAATGCGGATTTTCTCCTCAGCTTTTACGTTTACATAATGAATGAAATATGTAGTCATAGACATTTGAATTAATTTGGTTAATGAAGTATAGAATAGGAGTTCAGGGATGTGAATTAATGAGTAATAATCGATGTGGTCATAATAGTAATAATGACAAGAATAAATTCATTCAATTGGTTACATAATCAACGTGATGGGGTGGGGAGTGTACATGTAGAATATGTATACTATTGAAGATGGAGGAGAAAATAACTGTCGCCACATAGCCATTAGGTATTATGATAACAGTAACAATAATGAGTTTTTAAAACCTGAGATTGCGCAACATGCACAACTACAGCACACAGCATGATATTGATAATTTAGTCAGCATTACAGATAAAAGATAAATCCATTGTCACCGGGATAGACACCTATTTTAGTTTTGGGGACGAAGGCCAAGGGAGGCAGGGAGACAGACTGATTAAACATTTTTCGGAACACGGAAATTGAATGGAAAAGTCTTTTTGACAACTGCCTTCGCTGTGCTTAGTAGTGGAAGACGTACCAACCTAGAGTTACGGTGGCACCTCATATAGTATTGTTAAAGCTGAATATTTCTTCAATCTTGTGCTGCGTATCCACTGGGTGTACCAGTGTGGAACTTCTAATTATCTAATTAACGACTCCTCAGCCTAACCACGTTGGACAGTTCTCCAGCATGGGACGATGGGCTTGTGGAGTCGTTCTACCTATGTAAATGTTTCCACATGAACAGTTGAATTTGTGAATGCACATTGAAGTGATCAGATTTGGTAGCTTATCCTTCACATGCTTGGGAATTATACAACGAGTGGGGAATTTGTAAACACAATGTTGTGGCAAAGGATGTTTTATCTAATATCTTTTTTTCAAATTTCCTATGCCAGCAGTTCATTTGTTGCTTCTCATTCAACGGAATTGCGTCACCTGAACGAATTTATCTTTGTTAATTATTATTATTATTGTGATCACCTCAATTAGAACCGATTAATTCACATCCGTGAACTCCGCTCCTATACTTCGTTAACCACATTGATTCAAATCCCTATGAACTACCATTTCATTACGTAAGCGTAAAGGATGAGGAGCATTTACCGAAAATTCGTATTTGCTTAAATCGTGTTCTATGATTATCGTTACGGGAATATTTAAGTAATTTACGTTTTGTGTTGAAATTGGAAATCAATGTTAACTTAAGGATGATCATTTCTGTCCACTATCTTCAGTCTATCTTGAACACAGCGTTTATCATCTGTTTAACCTATTTTATTCCTCTCAGTCACGCGAAAATAAGTAGGGTGATTATTTGTCGTGCATGAATATGGATATTACTCAATCGCATGAGTAGTAAACGAGTGACTAATTAAAACTGCTTTCAACACATTGTGTTTTACTAATAGATACCATATAAACCTCCTGATGATGATCTAATCCCACTGGATTTCGCTAACCTCACTGAATTGTCTCAACACAATCAAAGTACAAGCTATGGAGAGGATTTTCCTGTGACTACTTCTACAAGAAAACACTTATTATTAGAAACTAGTGAAACTGGTGTGGCTGAATGTTCTACAGTGAAGCGGTCACGTCATTTGGATGAGTCTGAGAGGTTGGTATTTTTGATTGGTTTTATTTATTGAAATAATGGACGTACTCCCCATACTGATCTTGTTGACAAGTAATTCTATCTGGGCTTAATTGTTGAACTAGTGAGAATTTGTCTAGTCTCACAAGTTGATCACATCAACAAAGGATATGAATTCAAAGAAAATAGGGAGCATCGAACAGCTGTTTCATCCTAGTCCTCGACACACTCATTGATTACATACTGCATATACAGTGACAATCTTTCAGATGAATTTTGTGTTTATAATTTATAATTTGAATTAGTGACTGGTATAGAGCCGAACCACTTGATGATTCCTATTTGATAAATGAACGAAAATTAAAATTCTTAATTGCTATTATGTGATTCAAATCTAGTGATTCCAAGAGGACACCTGATTGCCTTATTGTAACCTCACGGTGTCCTGTGTTAGACAAACCTTGTGAGTTTGTGGTTTCGAACCAATGAAGAGTCTCTTAAAGCAGGACGACACTTCTGTCTAGCTGTCTCTTTGGTTTCTAGTGGTAATGTTCCAGTAAGCGTTGTTGTTGTTCTTGACCAAAACATTTTAATTCATTATCATTGTGTGCATCAATATAAGTCTGTTTCACTTGCAATTGATTGGTGTGTCACTCATCGAATTGCAGAATACTCGCGGTCAGTACTCGGCCACCGACGGGCACCGTAACCTCACCTAACCGGTAGTAAGCTCAGTGAAGAGGGAAAGTTGAGCGTGAGACTAGCAACTCCACCCCATGAAGGAAATTGTGTAGTTACTGAGACCTTGAAGCTCAGACCTGAGATACAAAAAAATAGATAAATTTCACTGCAGATGAAATGAAGATACATGTTTATATATTCTTTTTAACATGATATTTTGAACGGGTAACTTTAGGGAAGTTATGAGTCACAAGATTAATATAAATAAGTTATGAAACAAGTGGACTGGAATTATGGGAGGTGGTTTCAAGTGGGTCAGGTGGTATGAAAAATTGGAATGACAACAATGATGACGATAATGTGAAGGCGGGAATACAGAATCAATAAATGGAATCAAGTCAATTAGAAAGAACATTGCTTTGACCAAGGTGAAGTAAGGAGTACTGAACAGAAAACAAGCTTTTGAATACATAGTATAGCTTGTATTCTGGTAATGCTAACTATATAGGCAGTAATGGAAAGGGGAATTTCTGCAGAGTACTTGAGTTTAACCCTGTAGATAAATACGTGTATGAGGTATCGGCTTCACTAACCATATGAGTAGGGTCATATTAAGTGTTTCTCTATTGTGCATGTGTGTGTGTGCGTGCAAGCTGATAATTCCATAATTTCTATTCCAAAGTTTGTCGTTTGAAGAAATCTGAATGTTAGATTCGTGTTTTCAAATGTGATTGTGCATATTTGGCATTTTATTTTATCCATTCACGTTCCCAGTGGAATATAGAGATTCAAGCTGAAGACTTGTATTTACTGTAGCAGTGGTGATTATTTTTACAGGATGGGGTTGCTAGCCTCATGCCCAACCTTTCCTCTTTGGTAGTCCAATTACTGACTTAGCGATGTAAAGAAGTGCGTCATTGGCCGGGGACCGAACCCTGAACCATGTGCATGGTGATTGACGAGCGTCTTAACCGCTGTGCCACCGAGGCACATATTCAACATTAGACTACATATTTACAAGTCACTTTTGTTTTCAAGGTTCACAACTCAAGCCAATCTGGAAACTATCGAAGAAGTTCAGTTGCCGGTTGTCACGGAGTGTCAAGCTATGCCTGAGGCTGCAGAGTTAGTGAACATGTGAGTGAGTCTGCTTTGAATTTTACTCATAAAGTGATATGTGTGTTTATTTGGAGTCTGTCATTTGTAAGCCTCATTGCGTTTTCTTTGACAAGTGTAAAAGTCATATTGATTATTCTTTGATATACTAGAATATTTGTAAAGATTGAATACAAATCACTTTTAATGTTACACTTCACTTCACATCAAAGAGTAACTAATGTGTCATCTGTCTAATCCTTGGTGATGGTGCTGTTTGAATTCTCTCATTCGTGTTTGCAATATAATCAACAAGCCGGATGACTCTTTGCAGGAAACTCTGCATCTAGTTTTCTTGTTGATATGAATTAATCAGCACCAACACCGAGAACTGGGCGCATGATTGTTCTAGTTACTCTCCAGTGATCTCCGTCACGGTGTCCTCCATCATTAATCCGTACAGCTTAGTGGTAACGTCGTGGGATTGAATCTTCAAGGGGGGGGGTATCAATTCCTCCAAGGCTGAAAGCACGCCTTACTGATGAGTGCCGATGAGAACGAAACGAACCGTGGTCAGGCGGGACGTCTTGAGAATCATCTTCAGCCATCTGAGATCCAACTGTTAAGATCTATTTATTGTTGAGCACTACTTAGTGCCTAGTTAGTACACTTTTCTGGTTTAGATAACTGATTTGTTTTCTTCATAAATGAAAGATGACGTAACCCATAGTTTTTGTATTCCTTGCTACTTCACGATTTCCTACCCTCCGTAGTAGATTGAAGTCGGTGTTCAATGCTGCTTGAGCTTAGTGATAAATCTGTCCTCTCTCAACTATCATAATACATGGTTGAACATCAGAGAAATTGAAAAATATGATATACTGTTTTGTGCAAACCTGGTCTAATGCTCCACTTTTCCTTATTTCATATATCAAACACAAAAGGGAATGACTCCCTGCATCCTCTACCCATATTACCTGCTTGCTTGCTTTTTGTTTCTTCTTTTAAGACCACAAGTTTCAGACAATGTGGAGACTGTTACGGAAGCTATTGTTGAGAATGTACCTGCCCAACAAATCACTGCGTAAGTGTCATGTTACAATTTTTGTGGTTATTGTTGTCGTTCTTGACAAAACAACTGATTTAATGTAATTCATGATTACTATTAGGCAATAGTTGCTTACTTGAGTGCATCAAACCACTAAATTGCATTTGCTACCTAGTGTACTCTCTTATCTTCAACCGAATAGTCTCGGATTCGAAACCCGTTCCACTGAATTGAACCTATTGGATAGCATCATCACCTCTGACACAATAAATTTGATTGACAGCTTGGTGAAAGATATTTGAGTGTACCATTAGACTTCATTTCTAGTTGTATTTCCAAAATTCTAAAATGAACCGTTTTTATAGGCAGTAATGGCACTGAATCCCTGTTCCCATCAACAGAGTCAGAAAGAAGCCTCGTACCTATGCATTATGCAGAGAGATTATAACAATTATTGACATTTTCATTGGACCACTCTTTTAACACCATTCATAACTGTTACAGACAAATCCAGTCATTTAGATATCTAGCTGTGATTATAAATAAGCACTTATGTAAGTTCAGAGACAGAGCTAATAAGGGTCAAATTAGTTTAATGTGAGGCTGTTAATTTGCTAAATTTTTCGTTAATCTAAAGGCTAAGGGAACGGATACAATAGTCAAAACGCAGGATTTGTCTGGAATTGTTGACTTACAGTTGTTTCCAACTACGCGACTTTATCAGTTATTGTCCCGACATTGTTCTGCTTATATTTTCGACAATTGTGTGTTGTTCAACGATAGTATACTATAACACATACTAGCTGAACTAGCAATGAAGTTGTTCTACATCACTCTTCAGCGGTTTAGAAGCCGAAGTCTGTCACTGGAAGTCTTAGCACACTGAATGATGGACATGATCAAGAAGGTGACGATATTAATATCAGATGACTAAACAGAAAGAGACACAAATGCGTGTTGTGTGTGTGTGACCACTACCTTGGTTGTATTCAACGCATCCATCACAACGTCCAAAATTCATAGTGAATTTGTGGAACCTTCTTAGTACAGTGTTTATAATATACTTCCAATAGTTTCCGTTCAAAAATAACTAGACGATATTTAAATAACACTGCAGACGACTGATCCAACAATATCGCCTTGGAGTTTTTGTAGTTTATAGCGTTCTGAAGCGGCGACATGACTGAGCTGTTCACTTTTCAGCACTTAGAGGATGTTTCTCCAGGACATCAGTATTTACAAGCTTTATTTCGTCATCATCATCATCATCATTTGTAGTCTGAGTTCACCCACCGCTTCTTGTCCCTGTGAACAACCAACCCATTTTCACTACTAACTATTTTCAAAAAGCTGTTTGAATTAAAATATCCTTCCTTGTCTTAGCTATGTATTCCACTAGAAACTGTCCTCCGATCTCAATCCTGTGTGTGGAGATTTTATTTTTGAAATTAAAAGAAAATATAGTCAAAGATTTAATTGTGAAAATCATTTCAGGTAATTATTTTAATATTTCGTTTTCTTCCCATTCCTTCAATCTGCTGATTGTTCTTGTTCTTGTTGCTGAAAATGTGCTCCTCTGAATATCGTGTCGTAGAATGCCAGTGGATTTAGACGAAGGACGGTTGGTAAGTGTTATTTGGGAATGTTTACGTTATATAATTATCTGAAGCTATGCCATTATTATTATTATTACTGTTTTCATTATTCCCTCCACTTCTTAGTAGGACATAGGCACTCAAAAGCACATCTCTGAGATACACCCTGTCATCTGAAGTAGTAACTACTAGCTAGGCCTGATTTTACTGCAGACGATATATTAGACAAATTAGCTTAGCAGCGAAAAACAAAATAAATTTAGCGATTCCACTTACACGTACAGACCAGTTGAGAGTTATGTCACCAAAAACAGTACTCATTCCATGATAAGTGTGTCCAAAAATCAAAAAGTGACAGAGAGATCATCATGTCAAAAGAAATTATATAATAATATAAAGAACAAATATTTCACGATAATAAACATTAAAAAAATATTAGTGTCTTTCATATACCGCCGACTTCTTAATACCAGCGGAATTAACGTTCAAGGAAAGCACAAAATTTGTAAGAAATAAGAGAGTATTATAGTGAATAGAAGATCTAATAAAATTCACCACATTTCTACAAGAAATTAAGGGTCATTAACGCCTTGATGGCCAAGATGAGGAGAGTGTCTGAACCAACTTATTGTTACGGATACATAACTTAGGTGTTTTGATGAAGATTCTAACAGCCTCAGCAATGTGTAGTAGACGAACTCTCAAGGTAGAATTAAGATTAGTCGGTATGCGATAGGTGGATGCGGAAGCCTCGTTAACACCAATCTTGTGTTCTGTATCCACTAGACGAGACAGTATAGAACTATGAATACATTTTGTTTGTCCCTTACTTAATCACACAAGATGATGTTCACGAATCACACGATATAGACGCCTAATTGTATGGCCTATGTAACTGGCTCCACAAGAGCATTCCGATTGGTAGATACACACAGAAGAGGCGAAATTATGCAGTTTATCTTCAACAATCGAACGCAGGATAAGGGTTGCTTTTCAGACACAGCATAATTCAACAGCACCGAATGCTATTTCTGCCTCATTCCTTACGCGTTGTGTTAACATGTCACTGATGTTTTCCCCATGGAACTGAAGTTGTCAGAACAAGACGATTTTTGGATCTGTTGATAATTTCGCCTGCATTGACTTTTGATGCATGTTCCTATCGATGAAGTTTTCTGGGTAACCATTCTCAATCACCAACCGTTTAGTAATATTACGCTTTTCATTAAGACATTCATCAGAGTAGATTGCTCTTGCTCTGTGCATCAAGCACTTCATTTAATTGTGTTTGTATTTCAAAGGCAATAGGTTGAAAAAGTGAGTATACTAAGAATATGATGTAGGTTTCGATGTACACTTCTTCCTATTGTACCCTCCTCTTTTCTAGTCACTAGAGTCTCCTTCTTTCTCAATGGTAAAATTTATTGCAGCATGAACATCGTTAAATCTGTCCAGGATGGTCTCTCCTCCATCCCCATTTTCCATAATCAAAATGTATCATCCATATAGTGACAGTAGAATTCTGGTTTATCAGTCCCATCTTTCAAGGGCTCATTCTCTAGTTTTGCAGGGAAAATGTCGGCTAGAATAGGGCCTGGTGTTGACCCCATTGCCACTCCCATCAATTTGTCTGTATAGTTGCTTATTAAGTGGAAAGTGAACATTCATTGTGCATTTTGAAAGAAGCTCTTTTATAAAATATATAGGAATGCCGACATCAATGTTTCGTCTTGTAACTCCTTTGCATACAAAGTCTGCTGTTCCCATGAGTTGTACATCGGTGAATAAGGAAGACACGTCAAATGATATCATGAACGCATTGTCAACATTTAAATCTTTTATCGTTTCAACAAATCCAAAGGGGTGTCTTTTACGCTGTGTCTCACCAATTCAGTAGGTAGAGACTGCGATAGTTTGACTAACCATTTGGCTATGGCATGGCACGATGAGTTTAACATATCTAGTATTGGTTGAAGTGGTAAATCATTTTTGTGCACTTTTGGCAAACCGCGTAATCTTCGTGTGAACGTCCCAGTTGGTTTCAGTGATGTATACTGACTTTGTGAGATAAAGTCTTGTTGTTTCAGTCTTCTCAATGTTTCAGCTAACTGTTTCTCCATCCTTTCAATCGGATCCAAAGAAGATGAGATTTTTTGGGAGTTTAGATTGCCATTAAGAATGGTATTCATCTTCTCGAAGTAATCCGTTTCGTTCATGATATCCACTCCTGAACCCTTATCCCGTCTTGTTATCGCTACGTTATAGCCTTTTCGGAGAATATCTAGGGCTTCCCTATGTGTTTTGGTCGAAATATTATCCGAGTTGCGTCCACTATTCATATAACTATAACAGAAATCGACCAGAGTTTACTTTAGTCTTCCAACCGCTTCACTTGATGAGAGTATTAATCCTTCGGTTAGAGTATGGAGGCCTGGGTTCCCTCCAAACCCAGTTCGTTATGTGTGTATAATATTCCGCATGTAGTCCTTGATGAAGTGGCTCTGCGAGTTCAACCTCTCGGCCCCAAGTTTTCAGTAGTCATGTTAGAACTAATAAACTGAACGCACACGTTCAGTTTGAAGGCCTCTATACTGTCACCGAAGTATTAATACCCTCATCAACTGAAGCGGTTGAAAGACTAAAGTCAACTCTGGTCGATTGTTATTATAGTCACAACAGTCATGGTTTGGTCTTACAACCCTTATCTCTCTTCCAACCTAATCCTAAGCCAAGGAACACTACTCAGCGAGGAAGGTGTTGGCTTGTCATGTGTAACACGTGTCCTCAACATTCTAAAGCAATCCGTAGCCGGTGGTAAGATCTTTGCATAGACACAACTTCAAAAGCCATCTGAAATAGACTGAGTGTATGTGACTGGGTTCAAGCAGTTGTCCCTCGGTCTCTATGGTCGCAGAACACCAAAACACACTCCATTTCAGGTATTTGAAGAAGAAACAAACTTCTACGGTGTCGGCCGCCAAAATGGAATAACCGCCGGTACACTTCTATAAGCACGCAAGGATTTCTTGAGCATCACCAATCAACACTTGCATATTTCAATTAAATAACCCTGGGTAGATATCATAATTAATTTTGACCTTATTTACGTTTATTTTTACTGACTATTGGAGAATATATTGCGAATAATTTTATTACCTTACCTAAAGTATTTGGGTTATATAAATATATATATATTAACTCAGTTAGGACAAAATTTGGATTTTCAATGCAAACGTTAAGTCAGTTCTTTTATATAGGCCAGAAGCGCGTCCATTGCGCGTCACGAAAAGTATTTCCAGCATAAGACCGCGGACTTTTATCACCAGCTGCCTTCTCTGGCGCCATATTGAAGATCAAATGTCCAGAAAGAATTGACAACAACAAGAAACTATGAGAATAAACCAACGAACCGAGGACATGTTGCTTACCAAATACTCTGAAGTAAATGGAGATGGATTGGCCATACGCTGAGGAGACAGTCGAATAACGTCACGCACCAGGCCATCGCTAGAGTGGAAGCCGAATGGGAAATGGCCAGTTGGGTGACATGGAAAAGATCGTGGAAGGAGGAGACAAGGGATTATGGGCAATTGTATGGCCAGCTGATTAGAACTACTGAGGACAGAATAAAGTGAAAATGTGGTGTTGAAGCCCAATGATCCGCTTGTTAACCAAGGGAACAATAATAATAATAGTAATTAAAATGTAACTAGGTTGGTATTAAAACTGAATGATGGGCTGCAGAAAACGAGACTCTTAGTAAAGGAATATTTACTTGGAATTTAGTATCTGTATATAGCGAAATTACGTAACACCTATCATCAAAGCACCCTTTGCACAGATCTCCCATGTTGTAATACTTCTCGCCTTTATTTCGTGTTTCTTTGTGTTCCTTTCACGTCTCCCATGTATCTCTGCAACGCTGTATCATTTACTTTCTCTGACACCGAATCAATCTCCCTCTTACTTGATTTTTTTATACCTTCTCTTTATATACTACTGATAAATCTTATCAGTTGCACACGCAACAGTGTAGTCATAAAAGACGTTCCTTTTTCTTCTGTACCATAATCGATTGTGATAATTGCTAAATTGTGATTTTTTCTTCTTACTATTCTACCCCCCTCCCCTCGTTATCCTCAGCCTCCTGTATCAACGAGCACTGCAGTACCAACTGATTCCTGCCTATTGGAGAATGTTCAGAAGCCTAGTGTTACAGTGGAACAACTTGAATTAAATTCAGGTATGCTTGGCGAAATGAATGAAACTCAGATTATACCTCAAGGTGAAGAAAGGTTAGTTAGTCCATGTATTCACTCACTGATATGCTGGTTATCTTTCTTATAACTAATACAAGGCATATTGTTGTAGATGTACACCAGTGGATATGCCCTGTCCTTCTTTTAACGGCTGTGAAACATGACATCTGAAAAGAAAAGAGGAATTCGTGAACGCGGTTAGCTGTGTTTGACAATAGGTGTCTGCTTTCTATCTCTCGTGTTAGAGAGATTATATAATATCCCTAGTAAATTAAGGTTAAGCAGAAAGTGTTAGGTAAGGAGAGAAAACTGATCAATGAGATTGTGTGAAGCTGCACCTAGTGAGATGGTTAGAACATATTTTCCTGATGCCAGGCCAACTCCTTCCTCATGCAACAATGTTAGCTGGTGTCGGATTAGTTTGGAAAAGATTTAAGGGTGATCGAATCAGAACCATTGACTGTTGGGCCATATGGGAAGGTGTGTAGGCTGAGTGACTTGGGTCTCCGTGATAATACTGGGAATCAATGGTTAGAGAATGTTGATGATGTGGCAGAGATACATTCATACTTTGTGTGATTCCTCGGACCCTCTTTACCAGTCTTATTATTGGCTTATCGAGGTAAAGTAGTGCATCAATGCCTGGAGATCGAACCACGGACCACATGAAGCGTGGTTGGTGAGCATTCTACCGCTGTGCCACCAACCCATAGGGCCCGGATCCATTAAATCTTCGTTATTCTTCAAGAAATTATTCTATAATCAACAGATTGCTCTTTAGTGTAGTCTATTTTCTGTTTACATTTTTGTGTGCTATATGAAGTTTGGCAATATGCAGCATGAGCATTCACTTTAAATATAAGGATACAGGTACATATCAAGTGTTGGTTTGCAGGGACTTGATGGCTTACAGGTTGGAACATGAGTTGATTTCAGTTTCAGAACCATTGGAAATCGTGGGAGTATTGAACAGCTGTTTTGTCCTACCTTTGGACTCTTCAGAAGGACGTGCCCACTATGGTCGGAACCTAAGACCTTCAGGTTACAAGGCGGGTTCGTAGACCATTCAACCACTATTACCCTATCCAATGGCTCATGAACTCCGAAGTTTGCCAGTTCGCAATAAATATAATGAACCTCAGTGTGTGCGTCCTGTGAAGAGTCCCGAACTAGGACGAAACAGCTGTCCAGTACTCCAAGGTTTTCCAATGGTTCTCTAACTGATTTGAACTGGTGATCATAGCAATTTGTATATGTGTCATAAGAATACTGAAGAAAAATTACTCTTAGGGTAAACTTTCGATTGAATTATGGCCACTGAACTACATATTAGGTGATAATTCCGCATACCCTCTTGACTTCCATTGACAGTGGTGTATTTACTAGCAGCGTTTCTTAAAAAATCCAACTTTTGTGATATCAATAGACAGAGTAGAATCTGGAATATCAAAGGAGATCATGTATGCTTCACATACGCACACACGCCGACATACACACGCGCATCTTATTTCTGAAATTGAAAATAACCACTAACCTACTCCTTGTAAATCAATCACACTTCTAGTAATTCTGAACGGTGATTATTCTATTCATCAATTTCTTAGGAATTACAGTGCTTCTGTGTTCGTTCATTTGAAATAATTGAAAGGATTTCACAGCCTAGATGAATATGTTTTTGATGTTTGATTGTATCCTCTAGACTGTATAGTTTAATCTTGAAGCTCCTCATTGTTTGTCCTTCTAGAAACGACAGTCTGCTGTACTTACTCACATCTCTATTGCTTAACTCTTTATCTTTACTTTTTTTGGAACAGACAGCCTAGCGGTAATGATAATACTAATAACAACGTTGTTGAGCAACAGCCAAGTGAACTGCAACAAGCGTTTCCACACTTTCATTTAAGTCCATTACCTCCTAATGATGAAGTTACACGGAATAGAAGAAGAGTGAGACGAAAACTCCCACGAGGATTGATCATTGATGAGGCTACGACTTTATCGTCAGCAGAAATGAAATACAATATGGAACATGGGGAAGAAACAATGCGATCACGTGATGAGTTACTGGCTGAACCTAGTCGACGCTGTCAATTCAAGTATCTCGTATCACGTGATGTTAATCTTCTGTTTTCAATGCCTGGTCGTCTGGAAATTATGCAAAGTTCAGAACTTGCAGCAGTAGGTTTATCGATAATTTAAAAAGAATATTTTTCGAGCTAACAATATCTATTGATTATTACAAATTGATTATTAAAATAAGATGTTATGTGAACAGCAAGCGAATTTCACGTCTGACAGTGAATTGATATCAGTGGGAGAACAAGTGTAAAGGAGGAAATATACCGGACAGCTGTTTCGTCCTAGTTTGGGACTTATCGGTGGTACCCACTCACTGGGGTTCGAACCCAGGAGCTTCCGATTACAACGTTAGCGTGCAGACCATTCAGTCACTGGGACTCAACTCAATAATCCATGGGCTTTAATTTCTACCAATGCAGGATTTTTTTAGTGTTTGTATCCACATTCGACCTGGTCCTAGCGGATGAATGTTCTATGAGCTTACCTTGTCCTGGTTTCACACTATGGTGCAGGGTGCATACTGCCGATGATTCCAAACTGACGTGAAACACCTATTCAAGTACTCTCAGGTTTCCTATGGTTTTATACAAATGACATCAGTCCCTACAAGTTGACTCTTGAAAATGAGAAAATTGTAGAATTGCAGAAATTACGCGGAGGTTGTTTTTCCTCCTATTGAGGTTGTGTAACCCATGGAAACACAAACATCTCTGAATATGAGAGAGAGGATCGGATTTTTATGGATTGTCTTACAGTCGATGAGTTTATTCTATTCTATCATCAATGTTCTACTTCAAGCATTCGATTCTACCAGGTATCGTGTTACAATCATCTACTTTACTACTTTCAAACATGTGCATTCATCAGAAATTAGTCAATGGTTAACTGCTCCAGTATGAAGTTGGCAGTCCGGCTTTAATAAACTGTCGGCAGTACTTTTCCGGTTCTCTTCGCCACTACTCGTCATAAGCTTTGAAGAAGATGAAGGGCCTGTGTGTAGAATAGTATTCAGAGTAGCAGAACAGCAGAATGTTGTAAATGACTCAGACAAAGGTGAATGAGGATCAGAAGAGCTTCGTGTACTTTTGGAAGTTTTTAGGCGGTTGTTACTTCCCAGCCACCTACACCTTAGAACAAGCCGTAAGGGGAGATCTTGTCAGCTGAATACTCTACATACATGGATATATATGTACTTTTGAAATTACATTGGGAGATATAAGACTGATAGGCAAATAAACTACATTGAATTAGTCATGCAGAAAGACAGGTGCGAATGTTTTCCGGGTCATGATCAAATAGATAAAGGGAGAGAGAGTATGAGAGATCAAAATTAAGATAAATTTCATTACGCCTCAAATACATCACTTAGATAAACAATTAGTCACTAGAGAATATAACGAGAATTGCAAACAGAGTAATATCAATAGTAATGGCTATAATAACAATAACCAGACAATACAGGAAGAGAACTCACCATGGGTAGAGAAGCTCTTGGAGAAATGAATGAAAACGGAGAACTCTTCGCCGACTTCTGCGCCTTCAACGAACTAGTGATTGGTGGCAGTGTTTACAAGCACAGAGATATCCACAAGGCTACATGGGTGTCACCAGACGGGCGAACCAAAAACCAAATTGACTTTATCACAATATCGAGGAAGTGGAGACGCAGCCTACTGGACACAAGAGCAAGAAGAGGAGCAGACGTTGGCTCAGACCACTACCTCGTACAAGGGACAATCCAAATCAAATTAAAAGCTTTCAGGGAAACAGGAGCTGCAGATAGACCACAAGCCAAGTTGAACACTCAAAAGCTGAAGGACCAGGCTACAAAGTACATCTTCATTGCAAACATAAAGGAAAAAGCCGAGACACAAATCAACACCAACGAAAAGGTCAGCGTCGAAAAGCACTGGAACAAATTGAAAACGGTGTGGAGTCAAACCTGCATGGAAGTCCTAGGCAGAAAAAAGAGACAGGACAAACAGTGGCTCTCTACGGACACTTGGAAACTAATAGAAGAGAGAAGGGTGGCGAAACAAAAGATTATCCAGTGCACCGACGAGCAACAGAAACAGGAGTTGAATGCAAGCTACAATGCACTGAACAAAAGAGTGAAGAAAAGTGCCAGGGAAGACAAAAGAAAATATCGTGAAACCATGGCAAACGAAGCAGAACAAGCTGCAGGCAAAGGAGACCTCGCTACACTATACCAAACAACTAGGCACCTTTCGGGCAAAAGTTCGACACAGATTAAGCCAATAAAGGACGACAATGGAAAGTCAATCACCAAAGAGGTGGAACAGAGGAAGCACTGGGCTGAACACTTCAAAAGACTTCTAAATCGTCCGCCACCTACAATGCGTCCAACAATACCAACAACGGAAGCAGAACTACCAATGAACATCGACCCTCCGACGAAATCCGAAGTCCTGAATGCCATCAAGATGCTAAAAGCTGGGAAAGCGCCAGGACCAGATGGAATCCCAGCAGAAGCTTTGAAAATAGACCCAGAGACAACAGCGGACTTGATGACGCCACTACTAGAGAAGGTGTGGAAAGAGGGCAAAGTACCCGAGGATTGGAAGAACGGATACTTATTCAAACTGCCAAAGAAAGGAGATTTGAGTCAATGTAAAAACTGGCGTGGAATTATGCTTCTGTCCATTCCAAGCAAGATACTATGTTGCATCATCCTGGAGAGAATTAAACAAGCCCTAGATGAAAAACTTCGTCCGGAACAGGCCGGATTCAGGAGGAACAAGTCATGCATTGACCAAATCGCCACCCTACGGATTATCATTGAACAAAGTTTGGAATGGCAGTCACCTCTCTATCTCAACTTCATCGATTTTGAGAAAGCCTTCGACAGCGTCGATCGAGAGGTGATTTGGCAACTACTTCGCTACTACGGGGTGCCGCCGACAATTATACATCTCATCCAACAGCTGTATGACAACGCTGCATGCCAAGTAATCCACAACGGGAGGCTCACGGAATCCTTCGAAGTGAGGACGGGAGTGAGACAAGGCTGTCTACTGTCACCAATGATCTTCCTGATTGCAGTTGATTGGATAATGCGGCAGACAACGGTAACCAACGAGGGAACAGGCATAAAATGGACCGACACAAAAGCCTTGGAGGATTTGGATTTCGCCGATGATATATGTCTGATTTCCCACAAACTGGAAGATATGCAAGTGAAAAGCAACAAATTGGCAGAAGAAGCAGCAAAGATAGGACTTCAAGTGAACATAGACAAAACAGAGGTAATGAAGATTCCTGGCCAACATCAACAGCAACAACCGACAAACATCAGCATAAATGGGAGGAACCTGAAGGAAACAACTTCTTTCACCTACCTGGGAAGCATCGTCTCAACTACAGGAGGAACTGACGAGGATATCAAAGCCAGAATCGGAAAAGCAAGACAAGTTTTCATTTCTCTCAAGTCTATGTGGAGGTCAACAGCATTCAGCGTCAAAAATAAGATCCGTATTTTCAACTCCAATGTGAAGTCAGTACTACTATACGGATCAGAGACTTGGCGTGTCACAAAGAGCAGCTCAAACAAATTACAGACCTTCATTAACAAATGCCTTCGCTCAATACTCAAGATCAAATGGCCGGAGAGGATCAGCAACAAAGATCTCTGGGAGCGAACCAACCAGGAACCGATCGTGAAACAAATAGGCAGGAAGAAATGGAGATGGATTGGACACACTCTGAGGAAACCAGCAAGTGACATCACTAGACAAGCCCTCGAGTGGAACCCGAAAGGGAAGCGACGAGTTGGTCGTCCAAGGGTGACCTGGAGGAGATCATGTGAAGAGGAATTGAAAGCGTGTGGGCAGACTTGGAGCCAGGTGAAAACTACAGCAGAGAACCGAACGCAATGGAGACGCATGGCTGAAGCCCTATGTTCCTCTAGGAATTAAAGGAAATAATAAATAATAATAATATAAATAATAACAATAATAATAATAATAGTGTTGAAGTGAGTTAAGATAATCCTACTGATAAACGATAGTTTTAAATGAATCAAGAATAATAATAAGAGGTAGAATAATAAGTAAAACGTATTACTATGGTAGATTCAGAGTCACAACCATCTCCTTTTGTACACAGAGAACTGGTTTATAAACTGGAATTGCACAAGCTTCTGCAATTGCAAGCATCTAGTGAATGACTTGACAGCGTCGATATCACGCCCGTAGTCCACCAGATGTTTTGTTATTGAGGATTTTGGCACTTTGAACTCAGCTGTTTTCAACCATTTTGGTAAATGCTCCATCATGCAAGTAGACATTCGCCTTTCTGTACGAGCTGTGTATTTGCTTCCACAAACACACTTAAATTGATATACGCAGTTTGAAGTGTCGAGGATTGGCGACTGGTCTTTCCCAGATTGTTGAATCACTCGTTTAGTGGTGTTAAGGAAAACAAGTTTTTCAGTATAATAAGTTCTCTTGATGGCCTTGTTGAGTCTTTGTTTGACTACTTCCTGTACATCATCTCCTTTGAATGGCAAACTGATATAGACAGATTTTTTCGGAACCTTAGAACTTGACGTGAGTCCATGAATTCGTTGACAATCACCACGAGCTACATGAGAAGGTGTGTGCTGGCTGGTGGTTGATGGTCCTCGAAATGGTAAGAACAAATGGTGATTGGAGGCAGTTGGTAATACCTGGCTCAAAATCGTTCTCACCGGCGCAGATTTATTCATTCTTTTTGATCTCCTGTATCCACATCAAAGTTTTTTTATTTATGACATAACTTCCATACTGCAATCAATATTTTTGTAGATGTTCCATTGTCAACCTATTATTGTTATTATTATCATTACTAATTACAATACTCGCACTAATATTATTATTATTACTCTTTTAGCTTTGGCGTCGACATCTTCATTATTGTGAACAGGCCGTGAAAGCAGGTCGTCTACACGAAGAAGATATGACGAGTAATAATAATATTGATGATTTGTTCCAACTGAATAAGCCCGCCAGGTCATCTAGGCGGATGGCTAGTATTGCAGAAGAAAATGAATCATCAGTTGAAATTCGACGAATACCTAGAGATACTTCATCGATACACCGAGGCGAGTCACTACTCAGTGGTAATGCCAGTAATACTTTAATTGATGTGACAAATAATCAGGTGAGTTGATTGAAAATCGATATTTTATACACACGTTATTGATTGATTTGATAATGTAACAACATCTGAAATGTCTTTTTAATGGTTTAATGGGGGGGGGGGGTGGTTGGTTATTGACATTGCATGGTAAGTGATGATGGAGCATAAAACATCTGGCTGGTGATGGGTGTCCGAATTACTTACTACGACTCCGTCTTACCTCCTCCCACTTAAGTTACGTGACACACGCGCTGACCCGATGTATCTCATCATAGTCACCAGAGGTTAATTTCCAGCGGTCATATGAATATATATGATATGGTTTATAATTATTGTTCTGCATTCCGAGGGGAACACAGGATTCCAGACTTGAAGCCTTGAAATTTGAATAGCCATGCTGGTGTTTTCACGAGGGAGGGGACTTGGGGGTTGCTAGCTTTATGCTGTCACTATCCTCCCTCTTTCCAAGCGAGATTTAGGAGTGTGTGTGTGTGGAATCGAACCCAAGTTGATGTGCATAGCTGACGAGCATTCTACCACTAAAGCACCGACGCACAGATGATAAGTTACCGTCTGTTTGTTATCCAACTAGAAGATGTGCCGTCCAGCTATGTATCCCGCTGTCAATCCTACTCACCTGCTGAAGAGAGAGGAGAGGAGCTGGTTGTTATTTGATGGTAAGGCATCTATCTATCTATCTGCAATAGTCTTGACTAGCAGACTGGTTCTTCATGCATTAATCGGACGACTGCAGATATACACCATAGCATACACATGATTGGCGATGGGAAGGAAATTGTGGTGAAGCAGAGTTTTCTATCTTTTGACATTTCTCAGCAAAGACGGTTGAAGATTGTTTTGGTTTTACTAATAGTTTTTCCCCGATTTCTGTCAGAGATTTGTATATATACTGGCGTGTATATTTATTGTTATATCGCATAACTGTTGCAAGCAGAGTATATGTGTAGGGAGACTGCCTCTTCCTCTTTACCATAATATTACTGTTTTGCAGCATTGAAACAGGCTGTGGTCTTGAGTAAGTAGAGGAATTTAGTAGATAATGTAGTCAATATCCGCCTATCTATCCATCTATTTATCAGAAACCAGGTGGATAGAATATACCCAATCTACTTTAAGCTTCTGTCTTCCTTCTCAATCAGCGATACCTGTCAGACGACTAGGGTAGAAGAAGGTTGAAAGACGACCAATCCAAAGAATGACGTATTAAATTCATAAAATCCTTGACTGTTGGCTAGAGATCCACGAGAATGTCGAAGTTTTCAGGTGTTGGATTGTAGGAATTTGATCGAATTTAAGGTAGATGTCGTCATCGTCATCGTTGTCATTAACTGACACTAGTTAAAGAAGCACCAAAAAAACCCACTTCTTTCTTCTTCCTTGTTTAAGGCCCTTCGGTTCAATGACTTATTCTTATCTAGACACCTGATCTTTTCTGAAGTAAAGCAAATTTTCCAGACACCTATGATTCGTTGGTTGACAGGTATTCAGCGAGTTCCTTTGTTGTCGTCAAAACTAAGATTTCTGACACTTTGTGTTCGTTTGTCTTCCAAGTGGAACATAAGGCCTCACGCTTTGAGCTTTAAAGTTCCAGCATGAGTGGTGCTTTTCTTTTTTACGGGATGGGGTTGCTAGCCTTACGCCCAACTTTCCCTCCTTACAGGTCATACTACCGGCTGAACGTGGTTTAGGAGAGCGTCGGTGACCCAGGAACGAATCACGGACCACTTGTTGCGTGTTTGCCTAGCAAGCATTGTACCACCGAAGGACCGATGCACTAGATGCCAGACTAGAGATGTAATTCCGATTCTGTATCAACTAATTTTAGATAATTCAGTGATTACAAGTTTCATCACGAGCCGATATCAGTTAGAGAACCATTGGAAAGCCTGGAAGTACTGGACATCTGTTTCATTCTGGCCTGAGAGTCTTTGGCGGGACGCACCCACCGGCGTCCGATCCCAGGACCTACTCTTTGCAAGGCGTGTTTCTAGACCATTCAGTCAGTAGGACCCGATCCAGTGGCCTTTGAATTCAAACTTCTGCCAATTCGCGTTATGTATAGTGCAACCTCCAGTCAATGACATTGGCAACTAACTGTTCTCTTACCAGACTTGGTAAACCCTACTGGTTATTAAGATTTCTCGCTAGAAATCCAGGTAACTTTCTGTATAGAGTTCATCTTATAAGCAGAAGGTCCTAAGTTCGAACTCTGGTGGTGGGGAAATGCCTCTGAAGAGTCCAAGCGCAGGACAAAACAGATGTCCAGTACCCCCAGTTGATTTTCCAGTGATTCTCTAACTGATATCGACTCGTGATCAAACCTATAAGCAATCAAATTCCTACCAACCAGTACTTGAAAAATCATTTATTATGCCATAACATTTCCTCTTCTTATATCCCTAATTCTCATGGTCGGAATTTTGTTTTTTGCACAATATAACTTTTTTAATTTCAGCCAACTAGTGTTCGTGAGTCATTAGTGGATGTAAATGATCCTGCACAAAGTACCGCTGCTGTTGCAGCTGATGGTGATGGTGGGGCTACTGATCAAGTGACAACGCAAACACATCCGAAACTACACATAAATGCTATTTCACAGTCAACTCCACAACAGATGATAGGCAGTTCATTATCACATCATTTTGAATCAACAACAATGCTGGGTCCTGTACTGGAGGAGCGTGAAGAACAAATACAAATGAATGAAAATGGTTAGTGTTTTTTAAAAGTGGAGATGGATGTAGCCTCTTTTACTGAAATTTTCTGTGTTATTGTTTAAGTGTACTTATCCTGATCTGTGATTTATTGCGTAACTGATTAGGGAAACACAGTGGGAGTTGTGCACACACTTACGCAAGCACGCACACACGAACAAGGTAGATGAAACATCAGTCAGTAATTAAGATGAAACAGGAATCAGATCACTCATGCACACCGTCAGGTTATGAGGCACACATATTGCATTGAAGAGGACTGTTGAGTGACTACTAGCGAGTTGTTTCAGGCTAAACGAGGATGCGTTCGTGGCACAGCGGTAGAATGCTCGACAACCACGCCTCATGTGGTTTGGGGTATGATCACCGGCCGATGCACCTCTTTACATTGCTAAGCTAGTAGTAGGACCAGCAAAGAGGGGAGGTTGGACATGAGGCTGCAAACCGCACCCATGAAAAGAGACCACTGCCACCAAAACTTCAAGCCTCCAGCCTGAAGCCCTATGTTCTAGTGGGAACGTAAAGGAATATAAAAAAGGCGGATGCAGTGTCATTGGAATTCAGCACTACTATGACGGAAACTTTAGTGGTTAAACGGAATAACGACATCTTCAAGATGAAAGTACGTTCTAAATGTGTGTATTTAACTATATAATACTTATAACTATTTATTGAATAACTTGAAGACAAGAATCACTGAGTCAGCAGTTTCGTATAATTTTGACTAGTGAGAGAGCGAAAATGGGAGAAAAGTCTTATTAGTTTATTGATCACTAAGAAGACGATGTTGCACAACGTTTAGTGGGAAGCTAATTAAGAAAGCACCCATCTAGTTCATCTAGTGGTCATTTGATGTGAATGTCTGATTGAAACAATGAGAAATGCAGAAGAAGAGTTTAGGCACTTTCATGGATGGGAATTCCGGCAGCCCTGTGATTTAAACTGGCCACCGTTAGACTGAGGGAAATTACGATAGCAGTGTAACGACAGAAGACAATGTCCAGGCGACAGATCGTTTATTGAGAAAATCAACGGATATTTTTAGATTTCTATGTACATTATTATTCGTTATTATTAGCAGAGAAACAGCGTCTTCTGATTGGTCGTTTCTCACTGGAAGTTATTCTGTCATCTCTTTGTGGCCGTTTCTGTGAAGGTCATACCATCTATCTGCTAATCGTATCCGCCCACGCAAAGTCTGCTGTTTCTGGTTGTCGCGTCAGTCTTTGTTCTTGCCTATTTTTCTCATGACCGAGATTTGGGACGCAAACATTGACGTAAATTTGCTGCCTACCGATTTGGCTAGCAGACAGCTCTCACCACAATAGTGTAGGTTGTCTACACTATGCTGAAGATATGAGGGCAAAGTACTGCTGACGAATAAGGGCTGGGAGGGGTAGGAGGAGTAAAGTACTTCCCCTTCGGACGAACAGTAATCCATCTGTACTGTCTCTCCACTTAAGTGAGTGGGAGATTTGGAGAACATAAACTGAACAAACTGTACGTCATGGCTTACCTTGTGAAATTTCATAACTAGTGGTAAGATATTCATGCTAATGTAACTCCAAAACCAACCTCAAGCAGCTTTCTTCACCGCTGTGCATTTATCCAACGTGAATGTACCTTTTGTTTCACTTATTTCTGTCAGTTCACAGACAGGATGTGCACTGATACATACCATCGCCAAAATTTCTCTCTTACTGCTTCTGTGGTCCTGAAACATAAATGAAATAATCTATACTCATCAGAGTAAATCGATTGAACCAAGTTATCCAGTTTATTATGTAGGACTTAAGCTGAGTTTCATCAGCGTTTCAGGTACTGATTTCTGAGCAAAACACCAGCGAGGACATAACCACTGGATAGGTGTGGCATCTTGCTAACTGAAACATTTCAATACCTAATACTAAATTACAGCTTAGAGTAGTGCTGTGTGGCTTCAAGTGGACAAACAGAAGACGTGGGTGATGAAGCTAACCAACCAACGCCAATCACCATCAATGGGAGAAATTTGGAAATGGTCACTTCCTTCACTTATCTGGGAAGCATTGTCACAACAACAACAGGCGGAAGGGATGAAGGTGTCAAATCGAGAATTGGGAAGGCAAGATGCACCTGCATCACTCTTAAATCACTTCTCCTGCAATCTCCTGCACTCAGCCAGCATGGAGAACAAGATTCGGATTTTCAACACCAATGTCAAATCAGTCAGTCAGTTCTTCAATATGTGTGTCAGAAACTTGGCCAGCGTGTCACGAGAAGCATTTCCAACAGGCTACTTCAGACTTTTGTCAACAACTGCCTTCGCTGGCTATTGTTGAAATTCGAGTGGCCAGAAAGAGTTAGCGACAAGGACCTACGGAAACGAAACAACAACCGAGAACTTATTGCTCAACAAATACGTCAGAGAAATTAGAGATGGACTGGGCACACTCTGAGGAGATCGTCGGGTGATATCCTGCACCAGGCCGTCGATCGAGTGGAAGCTAAATTGGAAACGGCTAGTCGGGCGTTGGTCTTAGGGTGGTCGTGTGGTGAGAAGGAGATGAGAGGCTGTGGTTAGTCTCAGGGCCAGAAAAAGAGGACAGCAGACAATACGACAAGGTGAGGACGTGCTGTTAAAGCCCTATATATTCAAGATGGAACCCAAGAGAACAATAATAATATTAGCGGTAGTGTCGTGTGGTAGTTGAATTTTGACCAGCACTAATCAGTGAGTCAACAGCCAAATTTCTTACCATCCGTCGACCATTCCACACATACATAAAATAGAATATCCGTGATCGCTTTGCTCAACCTGTTTTGTTTTACTTTTTTGTTTAAGTTTTATTCTTGGATGTTGTGAATCATGGTGATGATGATAATGACGAATATGTTTGTGAATATTTTCAGAATTCATCCCTCCTGTGCCTGTGTCAACTGAATTCCCACAGGAACCAGAAATCCCTGCTCCTGCTCCTCCGCCTCCTCCGCCTGCTCTCTCTTCACCTCCAAAAGCGAGGGAACATGCTTTTGACAAAAAATCACGGATATGGGAGTAAGTCACTTTGCCTTATGCTTGTTAGTTTTTTGTTTAAATTTCAAATATGACCCAATTGTGGTGCTGTAGAATACAATCGGCTTTACACACTCCAAGTTCTTTTGATGTTGTTTGATGGTGTAGGTTCCATCGCTATACCTGATGAAATCTTTAACACTGGCCTCATCTTGAGTGACTGATTCCTGTTTTATGATTTCAAAGATGCATATTTTATTCATTATAATAGAGCGCCTCCAGACACGACACTAAGGTGAAGTGATCACTTGAAAATATTCCCTCACACTGAGAGATAGACACAGAAGTCAGGATTAACCGCAATAACCACGACTGCGACAATCGCTTTTATTATTCACACTACTGAGTATGGTTTACACATCAATAGAAATTTTAATCATAAAAATAGATAATCAATATCTGATTGACTGCATAACCTTGATGATCCTCCAGAATAAATAGATCGAAAGCTGTGCAATCAGGTCATTATTTCGGTGGTATAAGCATCAACCGTTCTAATACTTCTCCTTTCTGAGATGGTTGAAGGCGATCGGTAGGAAGTCCCCGTGGACCTATTGTGTAGCGCCTGTTGTCACTCGCCAGTCAGAAAGGCTTATCTGCAATCTTGAGGGAACTCATATTCCTTCGGAGATTCGAACCCACGTCACTCATTGCTGCAGTCAGAGACATTACCAGAGAGCTTTTCGGGCTCATGATTGGTCTCCTGTAGAACTGTATTGTATACTTTGATTGGACACTAACTGGTGTCATGTGTTTAGTCATTTTTTTACTGCAAACTAAATCCTACCACCAGTCAAGGTTGCAATGTGACGAGAGCCAACAAGTACGAAACCTAGGTCCAAGGCTTCCTGCTAATTGCCTCCAACCATTTAATAACAACAGTGCTGAGTGCATAATGATGGTGAGCCACTTAGTAGCATGATGGACACATGGCAAACTTGACTGAACGAATTCATTCTGCAGTAAGCAATGGAGTACATAAACGACACTAGCTAGTGTCCAATCAAAACACATCCCCTTTTCGCCGATTTTCAACCGGGGAACCACTGGAAGATATTGGGTTAATTGTTCTGGTTATTCTCCGTCTGTGGTATCAGTAACGTCTGTAGAAAAGAATTAACACGGTGCTTAACTTAGATCGAACTCGTGGTTAGAGTTTATACAGCATAAGGTGGTATGTATTAGAACAGTTTCCTTTCAGGAGGTGAAATTATTCAGATTACAGTGACAACCAAGAAAGCAAGCATAAATGCATCCTGTTGTATATACTGCCGACTAATTGAAATGAATAGATGGAAATTACTCACACTGACCAGTAGTACTTTGCATCCAGATTGGAGTTATCGAAATACTGGGCAGTCGTTCCACTTGTTTCTGGTCGAGTCTGACAGCAGTGTGCCATCCATCCAACTACTCATTTCGATCATTGAGTAGCACATAGCATCACTGATTCAGATTTCGTCTGGCTCATTCACTGTGGGATGACCTATAAACTCATGTCAGGCTGAATATTTGCTTATTGATTAATTAATTAATCTGTGTATCTTAGATGGGAATTTGAATTTGAGAGAAATTTTTCTTCTCCATCCAAGGAATGTTGAATATTGAGTCTCCGAAATAAGATTCTGTACCTATTTTGCTGAAGAACTTTTCCGGGAACTTGTTTTTATTATTTTTTTATTCCTTAACGTTCTCAGTGGAACATGGGGTTTTGAAGTTTCAGCAGCAGTTGTGTTTAATTTTACGGGATGGGGTTGCTAGCTAGAATCATGGCCAACTTTCCTTCTTTACCAGTCTTATTACTGACTAAGCGAGGTAAAAGAGTGCTTCAGTGGCCGGGGATCGAAATCCGAACCACATGAGGCGTGGTCGGCGAGCATTCTTCCACTGTGGCACCGACGCACCAGCCAGCTTCTCGACCGGGAATCAATCCCTGGCCTTCCACTTGACAAGCGTAGATACTGTCACGGGAATATGAAAATATAATTCTGCACGTCATGCGTCGGTGGCGCAGCGGTTAGGACGCTCGCCGACCATGCACATCGTACGGGGTTCGATCTCCGGCCGACGCACTCCTTTACGCCGCTAAGCCAGAAATAAAGCTGGTGAAGAGGAAAGGTTAGGCATGAGGCTAGCAACCTCATCCTGTAAAAATAAACACTGCTACAGAAACTTCAAGCGTCTAGCTTGAAGCCCAATGTTCCACTAGGAACGTGAAGGAATAAACAATGCCATGTGTAGACCCGAGTTTGATTCTCGACCAGTGAATTCATAAACCACGCCTAGCTTACTAAGGCGTTGCTAAGCTCAGAAATTCAGGAAGGTTCGGCATGTAGCTAGAATAGAAACAAGTCCACCCCTAATAAAACTTCACTGTCTGAAGTCAGTCCTATATTCCACTAGGAATTCAAAAGAATTCAAAAAGAAAGTCACATACAGTGACTAATTTTCGACAAATAAGTATCTCATGTTACATAGTCTTTGTTGTATCGATCTCCCTTGTAAATGTTTATAAAATGTAATTCTCCAAAGTTCTTTTTGATGTGGTGGTCGATATCCAGTCTGAAAATAAACCAATCAGAATTGGCCAACGTAAAATCACACCAATGTTTTATCGAACATGATTATAGACTAAATGACATCACCTTAGTGATATTTTTTTCAATTACACATTATTGCGTGAAGTTTACTTTTGTGGCTGATGCTATTGTGTTTGCTCGGCCAAGTAGAGCGGGCTGAGGAAACAGGCAGCTATGGCAGAAAGTTGTTGAAGTCAACAAAAGGCATTCGACAGCTGTGGATTTAAGTCCCAGCATCGGTGCACTGATCCTAATTACATTTCAGTCTTTGTGCTATTGCTCAATCAGATCACCTGTTCCTAATACTTTTCTATACTTTACCTAATTTGTTCTTCCTTTGCAAATATTCAGGTATCTTCGAGATCGACTGACATCACCCGATTGTGAATCAGTCAGCATTGAAGAACTTTGTCCACCAGGTGTAAGTAGCAAAAAGGAGGCAGCATTTGTGTTTCTAACATTGTTAGGTAAGTAGTGATTGTGTTGTGTAACCTTCACCGGCTAGTAGTTATTTCTGTGTAAGTTCGAAATATCGAAATCTTCAAAAGGCGCATAGTATCTGTCCAACTTTGTCCTCTGAAAACCCGGGGGAGGGGGGGAGGAAAGAGGTAATTAGATATCACACTGTTACTACCAATACAGAGTGTGCTTACGCATTCAACTGGTTTATTATAGGGTCTTTATGTCTTCATGTGTAGTGGTCCATGTGCTCTTTTGACTGCAGTAGTCTCCGGTGACCTGAACGTTATTTCACTCCAATTTCGACCACTATTTCATACGCTTACCGGTGGATATCTGATGCCCTCATATGGTTGGTAGTCAGGCTTGTATATCTCAATGACCGAAGGAAAAATCAATTAGTCGCTTCATGAATGCAAACTTACCAGGGAATTTCTGATACTTCACTTCATACGATAGGCAAAATCTGTGTTAAACGGTATAACTGAGGATGTCCACCGATTCAAATGGCCTAGATTCGTTAGATGAAGTAGAGTGCAGGAGAGACACAATTTTCAATGACCAGACCAACACATGGAACCAATCCATCAGGTTGGATTGTAGGTTGGATCCACTTGGGTAAATACATGTTGTCCATTCATTTGGTTGACATCCTGGAGATGCTAAGAATCAAGGGTTGCAACAGAGTGTTACTGACATGAATGAAAATCGTGAAAAATAGCGTAGGTGTATCTATTTCTTATCGTTCTCAAGGCTCTAAAAATCGTATCGTTGAACTTTATTTGCATATTCCCGCTGATTTGCATTATGTTCAATCAAAATTCTCATTCTGTATTCAGATGTCGGCTCGTAATAAGGAACCGGCAACGATTTCTGGAGATCTACATGATTTTATTTTTTGTTGCTTGTGAGTAGCAGTCAGATCCAAGATGCTCATTTCGTCCTAAGTAGGACTCGTCATCCAAATGTTCCCACTGAGGCAGGTACATCCAGATGACGTGTCCCAGATAGGAATAAATGCCTACAGTGGATTGAACTACTATTTGTCATCAGACAAAAAAGAACCTGACGTCTTCGCCTAATTTTTCTCCTGCCCACACTTACTAGCCAGTCAGACAGGCAATCAGTGAAACCAATAGACAGAAATATTCTCTGAAATACATTCATTATCTGAAGAATTATAGTGACAGTGTCGATCAGCGTCAATGTTTGTGCTAAGTGATTACTGTACACCCACATGTTGTACTTACAGACGACTGAATAAAAGGGAATTCAAATAAGCTTTCCACAGGTATTACAACGCATTTAGTATTCAGTACTACTTTTTGGAGCTATGGTTCACTGATATTCAGGCGAACAACCATGAATAGTCACGGATTCGGGCAACCCTCACACAATCGATGTGTAGCTCATTCACAGCCACATGAAAATCCAAATGGATTTATGAGTATGAGGAGGAGAAACCAAAGAGACAATTCATCTGAAACTTGTAATGCACTGGCGTAACATAATTTGAACAGTTCGGTGAGCAGGCATTCACTTTTGTGTACTGTAGTTCAGACCTTCGAAATTCATGTAATGCTGACCAGTGACAGGATGAAGTTTCCAGAAGTTCCAGGATGAATCTGTGACCTGTGGCGTCCATCGAATTGAATGTGAGGACAGATACTCGCCGATGACATTGACAAGCTGTTCCACCATTTATGATTCATTGGATTCCGTCTTGGTGGCTGAATGGTCAGCAGGCTGGCATCCTTGATTCAATCTCTGGTGGGATCATGGATATGTACTCCTGAACAGTACTCTATGATTTTCAATGATTCTCCTGCTGATATCAATCCGTGACCAAACTGGAAACAAATGAGATCCCTTCAAAATAATCCTTGAAAATTAATCCGATACTCACTAGTGCCCGACTACAGGACAAAAGTGGAAAGTGGTGACCAGTAGGGTCATTGGCTGATGGTCACGCTACGTATCGCGAATTGACAAAAGTCAGAATTCACGGGTGACTGAATTCCGACATAATTGACTGAATAATCAACAAGCTAGACCTCATGATCGGAAGGTCCCGGCTGTAATCCTTGATGGGATCATGACTGTGCGCTTTAGAGGAGTCCCAAACTGGAGCGAAACAGTTGCCTAGTGCCTAGTAGTTTTCAGTGGTTCTTGAATCAGCTGAAGCTAGTTTGTAATAAAACTTAATATGCGTTGTGTACCTCTATTTCTGGTATTGGTATTGAATTAGTTGCTTTATTAGTTGACAGAAAAAATCAATTTAATGGATTCTGTATGCGTAGTGTTAACTTGCAGTGGTTGGTTAATGGTAGTTAATCGCACAGATTTCCCAATTTGAGGCCGATCATGATTTTCCACTCTATCTCAAAACTCGATTTTCACTTCAAATTATCTAATTGCAGACATCCTAATGACTGTGTGTTAGTTGAGCATGAAAACAAAACGCCTTCAGCATAGAGACAATTGCTGGCGAATTCATTTACCCCTAGCTGTAAAATCAAAAACGACATTCAATCGAATCCCTCGAATTCAATGCATGTGTAGTCCTGATGCCGTAGAATCGGAACAAGATCCTTTGGAAGAAACCTTCATCCAAAATTGATACACATGCACAGCGATACATTGACAAGCATATCAAGTCTTACATGAAGCTGGAAGAATCAGCCTGTGACATCCTTGAGAAAAGAAATTCAGCATCTTTGAGAAAAACGTTCTTCACGACAACACTGAGAGTAGTGTTTTGCGGTCGGTTGTCGGTCTGTAGAAACCTAAAGGAAAAGACCTCGCATCCGACCACTTTTATGTGCACATATCAGTTCACCTGTCTCATTTGACGTGTAGCCTGTCGAAAAGTGTTCAAGAATACTATGCGGAATGGTTGCAGAAAAGCAGTAATGACTCGTTACAAGGAGTGTGTGATAACTGAACACCATTTCTGCAGTGGTCATTCCACCTAAATAAACTTACACTTCAAAGTAATCTATAAGGTGAAGAACGACCTGCTATGGGAAATACGCTATCATCTCCTTTGCGTTACTGAAGTCTACACCATGCAGACTTGAGGAAATTGGAGCTATGTATAAAAAAGAGAATTATCAAACCACTTCTCTTATCATGGTAACAACCGTTTTGTCTCCAATTAACTTGACTTTTATTTGTTTGTTGTTCTAACACCTAATAACTCTTGTATTTTCAAGTATTGGTATTGTAGGGATCTTGTTTGATTGGATGGAGGATTTCATCATGAGTTCACATCAGTTAGAGAACCACTGGATAACCCGCAGGGAGTACTGGACAGCAGGTTGAAGATGAGGCAGTAACTCATCGAAGAAGAAGACATTGCGAAATGGTCGCGCTATGTCGTCAATTGGCAGAAGTTAGAATTCATGTCGTGGCCATTGGGTCGGGTCCCAGTGGCTCAATGGTCTACGAGCTAGCTCACCCTCCTTGTAACCAGAAGGTCCTGGGTTGGAACCCAGTTGTGGTGGATGCGTACTACTACTGGGAAGTCCCACAACTAGGACGGAGGAAACAGCTGTCTGGCAGTACTCCCAGTGCAGGTTTTCCTGTGGTTCTCTAACTCTTGTACTTCTCTAGAACTCTTACACAGTTTCATATTTTCCTTCTTTTCAACGATCTTCATCCCGATTACAGGTGATTCATTGAATTATTCATCTTCTTATAATAAAACTTACTCAACTCCACTCATGCAATGACTAACAGCAACAACTTTGATTATGACAACTCTTCATTTTTGTCGCTATACTCTTTCATGAAAAAAATAGTTTGTACAGAGAAAGACACAATTTGCTGTAAACAGTCTCTTAGCTGAACCGAATGTTCTGTTTTCACTTATGAATACTATTCAAGAATTGTTGAGTATGATTCATGCAAGTCACTAATCTCTGCTTATTGTCTCGCCAATTCTTTCATCTTTTCAGAACTGGCTAAGAAGCGCCGAGTCACTTTTTCACAAAATGTAGCCTTCGGAGAGATTCGCATCAGGTTGACGGGGGGAATAGTCAATTGAAGAAAATTATAAAATGTTCGTTTTCTAATCCTTTTTGAGGTTTATCATGATTATTATTATTGTTATTATCATTATTATTTCTATGTGTGTTTTCAAGGGCTTCGTCCCTTTGATTAAGTTTCTAGAGGAATTTAGAGTTTTTTATATTATTATTGTTATTTTTATTCTTATTACTATTACTATTTTTGTTTATTGTTTATCACGTTCACATCCCTTTTATTGAGTTCGTTTTTAAGAAGTATAAGACTATTAGATTATGTCGTATTAATATTATAATAATAATAACAATATTAATAATGACTATTATTATTATTATTCATCCGGTTTAATATTATTTTTCTATTGTTGCCTTTATACCATTATTATTATTACTATTATTATGATATTTTGTTATGATATTTATTATATTGCTGTGTTAATAAAGCATTCGTACATTATCTTATTTGAGTGATATTCACTTCAGTTGACAGTATGGAGAGATACTAGATGCTAAGGGGGGGGGAAGTAATCGGTTTGATTTATGAAACAGCTGTGGTGGTCGTGTGGCAGGGGGGAAGGACTGTTCAGTATTTGTGAGGAAGGTGGACTTCCTCGCAGCTGATTGTATACCATAGCTGGTTTGATGATAGTAAATACCCATGGTGGGTGTTCAAAGGGTCAGAACATCACGCGCTTCCACAAGTACTTCGTCTTTACATTATGGTCCTTGACATGACTACTGCATTCGATAGATAGGTGCTTCTTTATTGTTGATTAACCCGTTAACTGACTTGTAGTGTGTAGATTCTCCAAAAGCAGTGCCTACTACAGCCTGTCGGGAAGACTTATGATGGGCTAATATTCAACTGTCTTCCAGAAGTAGCCTAATGCAAGTTCGCCAATGTATACCACTTAGGGTTTGTTAACTAAGATTATTCAATTAAGGTAACAATCCGTGAATACTTGAACTAACCAAGTTCATCCATCTAAGAGATGCTTATTAGG